ATGAAAAAAGAATTATAAGAAATCGGTTAACGTGGTCCAAAGTTATGCGATAACATACATACATAAAAAAAATATTCCGACGAATTGATAACCTTCCCCTTTTGTTTAAAGTCGGTTAAAAAAACAGATTTAAATACTAAGTAGTCCAAGTGCGCCTCTATTTATCATAGTTAGTTAACTTAACGTAAACTATAAGGATCACCCTAATATACATACAATCGTACCTAGTGACCCTTCAACAAGCATTTCAGTAAATATTTTTAAAAATAACGTAAAGTAAGTTTGCTATAATAAGTGTTAAATAAGCATTTTTAATATTAAGCTTATTACAAGTTTTTTCAAATAAACCTGTAATAAGTTTTGAGAGCGAATGTTTATAAATAACTTAAACTTATAAATGAAATGCAAATGCCAACGACATGAAGTAGTAAATATAACATTTTTTCAATCGTAAGTGACGTGTTTACGTTTTTTAAAATATATTATTAAAAGAAAAAATTAAATAAAACCGATGCGGTAAAAAAAATCCAATCCAGGACCCGATGGGCTAATCAGTGGAGCATTCGAGTCTTCAAATTATGAGTTCTCCTTATCCTTTCTTAGTTTAACATTCAATAAAAAATTTATTAAATTTTTTTCAGAAAAGTTTATCAATGAGAATAGCGGCGAAGAAGCGGAATATATATGTAGCTGCATCGATGTCATTTTTCGAATTTGCCAATAACCGCATGTAATTGAAAGCACGCAACAAGATGTAATAATTTACTTTTTATGCTTAATTTTTGTGTGTTATCGTGAATTTGTATGGTAAAATGTCTATTCCCTATTTATGAGTCCGCCGAAAATTCGCATTTCGTTTAGTTTCTAGATGTCAAGCAACCTATGTATGAGTTTTTAATGAAATATCTTTAAATAAAGGGTTATAAAAATGTTTATAAAAAGGTTTCTTTTGAAAATTTTTACTAAGTTTATATTCATACGCTTATAAACAACTTTTTTTGAACCTTTATTATAAGTTTACACTTTTACGCTTGTAAAAAGCTTTCTTTTGAACATTTATTATAAGTTTATATTTCTACGCTTATAACCAATGTTCCTTTTCGATTATATTACGCTTACTTTCAAGCGTTTTATAAACAAAAAATCAACATTTTGTAAGCTTAATGTTTATAATTGAAAACTTAAAAAAAACTTTCTTTAAGTTTATTTTGCTTGTTGGGTATTGTTGCGCATCTTAAACTCAACTTAAATGACTCATGCATATCACATTTTATTTGTTTTGAGCGACAAAGTAAACATCTCGCTGAGCGTAACTCAAAACTGTTTTCATTTTACAAATTATGCAAATAAAATTCGAGAAAAATAGAATAGTAGAACATCATGAATAAGATCAGTAAATGCCTTAATATACATATGCACATTAGGGTGTATCACTCGCCATACAAAAAAGACTGTTTTTCCATCGGAAATATAAAAATGTATAGGATTTTAACACTTCCGCAAAAATGTTTCGGAAAATATTACGATTTACGTGGGCTGGACCGATTTAAAAAAATATCTCTTAAATCAAGCCTTTTGTATCTTAAGAAAAGTGTTTAAAAATATTTTACTAAAAATTACCTCAGATTATAGAAGAGTTTAAGCATAAACGATATGCATAAAAAAATTTAAAAATTTTATCAACGGAATCAAAAAGATTCGAGTTTTGAAGGTTGGAAGATATTTTCAAATCGGTCCAGCTGACATACATCTTAATATTTTTCCGAAATATTTTGGCGGAAGTCTTAAAATATAATACATTTTATAATTCCGATAGAAAAACCGCAACTTTTTTTTGGTGATGCACCTTAATGTACTTACATATAAGTTTATTTGTGTATTTTTAAGCCTAGGAGTATTTGTAAGAGAAGAAATTATGAATCAGTAGAGAAACAGCTGTTGAAGAGGAAAGACACGATTTAGCAACAACTAAAAAAAAATTAAACAAATAAATAGACAACGAACAACAACAAGAAAGGTGTAAACAAACAAAATGAAATCGTTAAAATTGATATTTGCGCTTGGTAAGTTTTCGTCGAAATTGTTTTGTATACATTTCACTAAAGAATACAGTTAATTATTTATTTTTTCTTCAATAACTACTTTTTTTGTACGCAGCCATCATTGTAACAAACTACTCACCCTTTACTGAGGCCTTTCCCCGGCCTGCAAATAATCCTAATGCCGAGTATGAATTGATAAGCGGTGGCGCGCAGGTTGGACCGAAGCCGTCTTTTGTGCCCATCACACGAAAACCGTTAATCATTAATACACCACCACCAACGCCAGCAAACTCGAAGACTTTTGCTTTCGATCCTCTAACCCAAACATGGACAAAAGTCAAAAAGGATGATCCCATACCATCGGAAGATACGCTTCTATGGAACCAAAGCAATGACAAATGGCTGACCGAAACAGCCAGGCGCCTATAAAATGCAACAATCCGCAATATGAATAATTGAAAATAATTATAAAATGAGTATTTAGAAGGTCATATGCAAGTTTTATTATTGACTATATGAGTTAATATTTTGATTGAACACTGCAGATGTATTTTATGGATGAAAAAAAAGCTTGTACACACTCACGATTTTTTGTGTAGGTATACTTTTGAGTATGACTGTAGCCTAATTAATGATATACAAAATTTCATTGAAAAAATAACAAATAAATATTGCACGCTCCACTAGAAAGATAGTAACATTTAACACAGTTATTACTTTTTTATAGCCTATTTATGTAATTAAATCGATTACGTATTTTCGTTAAAACCATATTNAAATAAATATTGCACGCTCCACTAGAAAGATAGTAACATTTAACACAGTTATTACTTTTTTATAGCCTATTTATGTAATTAAATCGATTACGTATTTTCGTTA